GTTCCCATATCCTAGCATCTATTAAAAAATGGCATTTTAGAACAGACGAACACACGCGGATGAAGAAAATAATAAATCACAAGAAACAACAACATGATTCTCTTCACATTTTTTTTGTATTTATTTATTTTACTGGTAAAATGAATACAAACCTCAATGTAATGTTCCTGGTATCTTTCAACAGGTATTTTCTCAATTAGACAGCAACTTTTCTTTTTACCATTCGAATTAGGCTAAACGGTAGGGGATTATTCAACAATAACAAAGCATTACCTTCAACTGCATTTGATGATCCCCCATTTTCTTGGCTATTATTCAACAGCCTATTAGCTTTATTTGGATCAAAGAACATACTGGCCAAAGCATACAAGGTTTCAGCTACTTCTTCTTCGTCCTTTGTAATGTGCGCCTGCTTTTCCATTCATCACATGAAGAATGGTCAATTCATTTATATAATCAATGTGGTACTTAGTTTATAAATAAATGATGTAATATAGGTTCAAACGTTTACGTAAATTTCAATGCCTTACCCTTTTCGGCTTGGAATTCTTTCTGCCATATTTTTTAAGAGAGTCCTCTTTATTAGACGCACGCCTTTTCTTCGAAATTGATAATGGTGACGTAACCATTTCACGGGCCCGCTTTTTTATGGCTGAAAGATTAAAAAAAAATGAACCCAAAGTAAATCTACACTTCACTTAGACAGGTAATGTTCTGCTGTTAGAAAAACACACAAATTGCATTTTTTAAGTTCGGCGAACCAAACCTGTACTGTATACTTACACGTTACAATAAAATGGAAGCAAGACCGATAAACAAAGAAGAAATTCACTCAAAATTGTCAAGAAAACAATTCACTTGGATCCGAAGTGAAAAATTATGTAGAAACTAAAAGAGGGGGAGATCACTCATTCAAAATCTGTTCATAATTTACAGTTGTACTTTGAATAATATTGACTGAACTAATTAATGAAAGTTCATCAAAAGTGTCAAATGAAAAAGCAACTGATAGAATCCTCTCAGGCCAACAGAGAGAAAGAGAGAGAGAGAGAGAGACAGAGAGAGAGAGATACCCACCATTGCAGTACCTAACTGTACCTCTGGGCACCAACTAATCTCCCTTCAAACCACACATACACACAACCAAACTCAAAATTGACATGAAAATAAATGAACTTGGGACTCATCAAAGGTTAACAAATTAAATAAATACACACCCGACCGAAGCTTCCTAGGTACCAAGGCATGGGTACCTCCATCACAGCCAACAAGAAGCTGAAAAAACAAAAGTACAAAACAAAAAATATAACAATAAACAGAGAAAAAGAAAAATCTCCATATGACATACAGAACTTGTTCTACAACCTCACTTCTGCAATTGACAGTCTTGTAAATTGTAATAAGATTATTATATGAAATCCTTACCCGTTTTCGGCAAATTGTATACCTTGTAATTGCTTGCACTAGGCTGGGATTCAACTTCACCATTAAATCCCACAGAACCCATTTTTCACACTCTTCACCTCTGTAAAATTCACAGTCAAATGAAACCACCAAAGCTAAGAAAAAAACCATGTAAATATACACAAGAGGATATAACTTTGGATAACACAATAAACACACAACAGAGACTAAGAAAAGGGACAAAAGAAGTGTGTGTGGATAAAGACAACAGTTGAGATCGATCGATGACCCCTTTTGGAGTTTAGCACCAGCAAAGAATAAAACAAGAACCGAAGGTTCGTTTCGTAATTTCTCCACAGTACAAAGGGATATGTGATTCTGATTGAATACCAAGAACAAATGCTTGAATACCAGTGAAATTTCGGGGTTTTTACACAAAGGAAGAAACTGAAAACTGAATCAGGTTCTTCTTCACTTCACACTCAATAAAAAGCTCATTTACTGCAACTCTCTCTCTCTCTCTCTCTCTCTCTCTCTCTCTCTCTCTCTCTCTCACACACACACACACACACACACAGTGCTTTCTCTTTCACACACATAAAACGCACAGAGAGATGGAAAATGCAAAAGAGTTTGTGAGTGAGAATTGGGAAATACAGAGACAGGGGAAAAAGGCAACATAATCAGAATTGGGATTTCTCGAAATTAAAGAAGATCTCATAATCTCCATCAATCATAACAGCCAAAAAGAGAAAAAAAAAAAAGGAACTATCTTTCCCCTTTTCAACATGCACAGAAGCTTGATTCGAAACACCCATTGCTCCAAATTTCAACAAAAATGAGAAAAACTAAAGTACAAATGAACAATACAAAAATGAGAAAACGATCCAATGGCAGAAAAATAATCAAACACCTACCTTTTTCTTCGTTTTTTGGCACAAATCCAGCCGGCGCGAGAGGGAATAAATAAATTAATGGGTTTTTTCTGGGTTTTCTTCAGATCAACAATGGCGGAGTTTAAGGTACAGCTCCGAACTGATTTTGTTCGTTTGAGAAGATTTCAGAAAAAAATTAACACGAAAAAAAGAAAACTGAAATCAACACGCTGACTGTGTGTACAGTGTGTGCACAGGCTTTTATACTTATCATTCCTCAACAGACAGTGATTATTTATTATGGAAAAAAAAAAACAGAAAAATGGCGAATATAATCAACGACCGCAGTTTGTAACTGTCAGTAGTGGTGACGTCATTTACAGATCCGACGGGCCACGACGACCGGATTCTGAGAGCCGTTGGATTAACGAGCTAGCTAAAAAGACTGAAATGTCCCGGACGAGTCTGTCCACGGTGGCAAGCGTCGACTGACACGTGTGTGCGTGCAAACCGCGAGTGCGCTTGTGGACGGCTGAGATTGGATCTTCGTCTTCATCTTCTTGATGATGGATAATGGGCGATTTTTTATTTATTTATTTATTTATTTTTTTTTTGTGTGTGTAAAATTGAAAATAATGTAATGATTAATTTTATTTTCAGTTGGGATTTGTGCAGGTTGGCGTGAGGTCGGATCACGAGCGTTGCGTGTTATCAGTTGCGAACTTGCGAGACATGAGAAATGACTGTTGTGACCTCTCTTGATTTTACTTATCACTTATGGGAAAGTGAACGAGTGATTAGACATAGATTTGTTTGGTTTTGATTAGATTTTTTTTTTTTTAATTACAAGTTAATTTAAAAAAAATGTAATATAGTTAGTTGTTAGTAGGATGAGTTTATATTCGATTTAATGTAAAAGTATGTGAGAAATGACGTGAAGTGATGACTGATTAAAATTATGTGAGTGGTTAAATAATGAATTAAAGTTGATGTGATATGTAAGAACGACTCATTGTTTTTGTTTGATTGTATTGATAAAGTTGATTGACATGTAAGAATGATTCATGATGTAGCACATCGTTAAACGAATGGACAAGAGATAAGAATTTCAAACAGAGAATGTTCTTATTTCGCAAAAACTACTTGTACACTTCTGTTTCTACTGCATAAATAGACTCTTTCACCAATGAACTCTAACTTGCTGGCCAAGTTTTATCCCTAAAAGATAGATATCACCTTAACAATAAAAGAGATAAATAAAGGAATAATATAAATAATAATTATGTGACTAAATAAATATTTTAATGCCGGGATTCGATCGTGTTTCTCCAAGAGAGCTATAGCGAGCTCGTCTTCATCATCCTCCCTGGTTGAGGAGAATTCAACCACGAATCTGCAACGAGCTCGTCTTCCTCCAAGTTGGCGGCGAGAAATGGCACCAAGTGTTTGATGTTGAAAACATCCGAAATACGGATGTGCGAAGGTAGTCGAGAACGGTAGTAAGTGGGATCGAGCTTCTCGAGGATCTCGACCGGGCCAAATTTATGAACCGACCACATGGTATGTCACATTATTTAAAATTCAATTAATATTTGATCATGTGTACATACAGAATTGAAAATAAATTTTCATAAATTATTTTTGCGCATACAGATTTTAAAATCATAAGTTATATAATCAGCACATCGCATTTTAAAATTTTTATTAGTAGTAAAAACAAATGAATACAAATATAAATTATCTAATACAAATATAAATTATCTAACTTATATATAAATTACTATATTAAATGCAATATTTTTTTTTTTTTTTTTTTTGCAAATTTGAGTTATTGTGACTAATTAATCAGATAAAAAATATTGAAAATTATTATTATTATAATGTGAGTGAAATTTTATGAAAAATATTCAAAAATTGAGTGATTATTATGACCAATTATATTATATACATTTGCAGATAAATAAACAAGTACATTCGGTATATATGTATGTTGATCAAATGTAATGAAACATGGGGAAATTCTGATCAAATGTAATGAAACATGAGAAAATTCTAAGGTACCGTTACGGAATGATACCATCAGTGCTTTTAAACACTGGATACACATATAAATTATCTTGTGTGGATAATTTACGGTAACCAACACTGACGGAATCCGTCAATGGGACTGTCCCTTAAACATGAATTACAGGTCAAGAGATCTTATTCCTAAAAAAACAAATGTGGAATTGCATTGATGAGTGCAGCCCCTTTTTCATTTCACTCTTTATTATTCACCCAAAAACGCCAAAAAAAGCAGTCTTAAAAAAAACATCAAAATCCCAAGTTTGTAGAATAGGAAAAAAGTACAGCAGTTGAACTCTTCCAAGTTCCTCAGTTCAATCCAAAATGTAATAAAAATGTGAGTGTGTGTATATATATAAGCATCCATGTCAGCACACCCAAGAAGCTGATCTTTTCATGTGTGGCTTCATCTCTTTGTCTTCCTCGAGAGATATCATACCCAAATGAGAAGGATCTTCAAGCATCATTTTAGCTACCAAATAACCGGCAATGGACCATGTCTGGTTCTTACGAGCTTGTTTTCCCATGTAACGCCCAAGCTTCCCGTCATAGTACTCAGGCCAATGATCCTTCATCAAACGTGTCTCGGCAAGTTCGATTGCCCGTCTCGCTAATTGGGGTCGACCCGATTTTATGCAGGCTGCTGTTAGGAGCCATAGAAGGACTACACACACACAAAAAAAAAAAAAAAACAGTTCGGTAAATGACTATGAAAATCGAAAGTAAGCTTCAATATGGCTTCTGTTGTTTTGCAGATCGAACTTTTGGACGGTATGGAGTTTGTTAAACAAGTGCAAACATCAAAGGGAAAATAGACATACAAAAACATATAGTGGATTCTTTTAGCTCAAGTCGAATTCAAAGGGTAGTTTTTTGTTCAAGATATAGAAACAAAATCTAGGGTTGCAAACCAACCGAGCGACTCGCGAGCCTTTGCGAGCGCTCGAGTTTGACCGAACTCGAGTCGAGCTCGACCGGCTCGAGCATGTTATCGAGTTGACCTTGAGCATAGACTTATCGATCTCGAGCCGAGCTCGAGCAAGTGTCTTCTTTTGTCGAGACGATCTCGAGCAGGTAAAAAAAAAAAATCAATCTTGCACGATAAGGCCAATGCTCGACTCGAATCGGCTCGTTTGCAGCCCTAACAAAACAAGTGGCCAAAAAAGCAAGCAAAAGCTAAAAAATCAAGCCAAAAAAAAAATATATTCAATTTACCCGGCCAAGATCCCCCGTTGTGATAGCTCCAACCCGTGTTCTTTGGATCGCAACCCGTCATGATCCTCCACTCGTGATTCTCCATAGCCGGGTAGCAGATCTTCATCGGCATTTCCCCCACGAGCTCCCCCCACCTCGACTCTATCAAGTCCATTATAGCCCCCGACTGCTCGGGTGTCGCGAGTGACGACAAAATAGCAACACAATTCCCCAAACAGAACCACCGAAAATCCATGCGGGCCGGGCTTACATTCCCAATAAAGTACCCTCCGCGGGTGGGCATGAAGTCAAAGACCCAGTCGGGTAGCGAGTCGGGCATGACGTTGAACTTGTTAACAGCCGTGTGGGAGTACTCTTCAGTTTTGTATCGGTAGATATCGTTGAGCTGGCGAAGATCGAGCCAGAAGTAGGTTCGCATGTGGTAGCTTAACGCGTGCAGCCGTTTGGATATCTGGTCCGCGCAATCTTTGCCTTCCTCGTCGTGCTTGTTTAGTAAAAGCAATGCGCATCTCAAGGCCATGAAGAACAAAGCTTGTATCTCGATCGGGTAACCGTAAATGCCCTGAAAAATTAAGAATCTCGTATCTGGTTTTTTTTCTCATTAATGATATAATTGATTGAATTTTTACGAAAACTCACCATTCTTCGATCAATCATACTACACCCGTCGGCACACAAAAGAGTCGGGAAAGTATCGAACCCTTCAGACAAGCACAGTGTAAGAATCAGCCGAATGCCCCTCTGGCACTCGGGCAGCTCAGCCAATGACGTGTCGCCAGTTGACTTTGTGTACGCGCGAAGCAAAATAATCCACCAAAAACCCGAGTCGACAGGGGCCACTCTACCAATAGCACACTCTCCAAAATCGGCAATAATCGTCTCGTAGTTTCTCACCGGGTCGTGAAGCACTTTGAAACTCGCCGGCATCACGCCTGCCCCGAGGGTAAAATTGTCAACTTTCTTCTCCCACGACTGGAGCCTCAGCGTCTTGAGGAGAAAGTTCTTCACGATTTCTGGCTCACCGTTCATCAGAAAGGCAAGAGCGCTCGGAACAAAGTCCCGAACGAACACCTGTCGCCAGCTCAGATCTTTTAGCTCGTGTCGTGTACTTTATCTAGATAAATATCGATTAATCTATAGCTTTTGTACCTGATCATAGTTAAGCTCCTCGGTCGAGTGGTCCAAAGCTGCAATGGTCCCGACAGGCTGCCCTCGGAAATGAACGATCGAGCGCTGCAGGGCAACCCAAGCCTCGGCAACTACCGGGTGAGTCTCCACGCAGCTAAACGAGCGAGGCGTGCTAAATCCCGATCTTGCCCCTGGCGAATGAATGCTCCCCAATGCGTCGAAAACGCGGGAAGACGAGTTCTCGCTGTTCCTGTAGAGCTGGCGGGGAGGGGACGAAATCGACATTTCGCTGAAAGACCGCTCGTCGAACGACCTCTTCCTCTCGATGCTGACCGGCCTCGGCCTCTCTAACAGCCTCGACAGGTCGGATTCACCGAGTTCGAAAATCGAGGATGCGTTCGAGTCCTGGTGCTTGAAAGTCGGCGACATGTTTGGTTCGGAAAGTCGGGTTCTTTTTTTTTTCCTTCTTTCGAATATAGGATATTTAGTTTCTGCAGGGCAACAGCAAATGAAGGTTTTGGGGTTTTAAAAAATAAGGCATACGCAATGTGTTGAAGCTTTTAGCAGCAAGCAAGATACATTATACATCACAGAGTGGTTTAAGTCAACTGTAATATTTTAGCATAAAGATTGGATTTTTATCAAGTGATGTAAGAGCAAACGGGGTCAAACATCACGGATCACGCATCAAAACCTGATTAATCAAGAATTTAAATGGGAAAAAAGTAAATAAAATCAAAACGACGCCATGGAAGGTCAACAAAGAAAGATCTGCGTGTTTGAAACAGATGGGGGTTTTCTCAATAATGTGCACAACGATAATAAAATTGAAAAGAAAGTGACAAAAAAAAAAAAAGAACCTTAATTTATACATTATTACATTCTATTATTACCTGTCCAAAACCCACAAAATTTCAACAAGAAACCTATGCAATTACCTTAAAATAATCATACAAAGAACAAAAAAAGATCAGAAACTGTTGAAATTGAAAAGGATGAGAAGCAAACCTCCTCAAGATGGGCTGTGGCAGAGAGAAAGAGAGAGACTTTGGGGTGAACTGTTACAATTTTTATAAGTGTTAGTGGGGACAAGTTTGAGCAGCGACTCGCCGGATATTCCGGTGGCGCCGGTGAAAGATCCAGCTGGGTGACCGGCGCGTCGGATTTTTATCGAGTGGGGTTCGGATATTTTAGTGCTGTGCTGGGGAAAAAGTTGCCGGTTGCTACAAGAGTACGCAACTGCCGTTACTCGCGTGTCCTGTAAGAAAATGGTGGGGAGAGAGGGTTTTAGACTGGTTGGGGGGGCAGTGGTGAGTGTCTCACACGCGCACACGTGGTCGTCGGGGTGGATTGTGGTGAGGGGGCTCCAAATGAATATATACGAATTTGATGGTGGAAATTTGAATTGATATATTTTAAAAGGACTTTGTGGACAATAGATTTGTAAAATAATGGATTTGTTAATTTAATTGATTATATATGGTAGGTAGAATAGAATAGTGTGTGATTGATATATGTTAAGTTTGGTGAGATATGGAATATTACTCGGCCAATGTAGCATGTGTGGATGAATAAATCAAAAATATAAATAAAAAGAAAATCACAAAGTTATATGAACGGATAAAAAAAATAAAAAAAAAATGTGGGTAATCCAATCCGAGTTTAGATTTTTTTCTGCTCTCCATTATGTTGAATGAATGTCACGCGCACAAATATGACATCATCAAATTACAACGTCATCAATCCAATAGAGTAAAATACGAAACGGACCATTAAAATGGAGTGAGAAATCTCATTCGAACCCGACTCTATAGATTTTACTGATTATTCATGGAAAAATAAAGTGCAAGACATGTAAATCTTTAGTATATAATTAAAACAGAAACTCTATGGAGCCATCGGATGTCTCTCGGTTTATGGAGTCATCCATAATTATTCGCAAACGACGTATTGACACGTGTCTTGCAACGAATGCACATGTCAGTGCATAAAGTTATGGATGACTCCATAAACAAAGTCATCCGATAACTCCATAGCAAAACTGATAATATAATACTCGAGTGCAAAATAAAATATCATCCTTCTTTTTTTTCTCTCAAGTGGGCCAAATCCAAATTGGGTCAAAACAGCAAAATGTCTAGCCCATGAGCCAACGCGACCTCCAAGCGCAAGTGGGCTGATACTTTCAATAGAAAGAATTCGACCGTTGGGTCATAGATCTCTCCTTCCCTCTCTCTTCGTCTCTGTGTGAAACTGAAACCGTAACCTCACAAGCTCCTGGGGAGAGAGAGACAGTTTCTTGAAGATAAGATGAAATATTTGCACGAATTCATTTATAAGGTAAAAAAAGGTTCAGTTTTTTTTGTCAATTTTGGAGTTGTTTATGTTAATTTTCGATTGTTTATGCGGGAGTTCAATTAGGGTTTTGAGTGATGTGGATTAATTGGGAGTTTTTCGGCGCAGATGAAGATGGATAAGAAATTTGAGGCTTCGAGGGCAGAATTCTTTATGGGTTTGAGGGAGAAGGAGGCTTTTGCTTACAAGCATAGATATGGTTGGTTTCTTTCCTTTTTTTTTAAGAACCATTTATGCTTTATTCAGATTATTTTCGCGGTGGGGATTAGTACGGTGCGATTGGAAGAAGAACGAGATGTTTATAATATGAAGTTCGTAGTTACATAAAAAGGTTTCAGTTTGAGCTTGAGAATTGTATTGCTGCTAGGTTCGTTCTCTGTGCGCACGCGCGCGCGTGTGTGTGTGTCGTTTTTTGAGGTTTTCTCGAATTTATTTTCACTGTTTTGCATTTGCTGAAGTGTGTTATAGGGCTCTTGTGTCTCATGCCAAGATCAATGCCGAACTGGAAATTTTCATTAAAGACTGATAAATTTACTGTGTCGAAACCAAGAAGGTTCTGTAGATTCTCCTAGTTATTTCCAGTTTTCTCACTACACTCAACAAGTTGGGAATACATAGGGTAGAATGGTATCGGTGGCTTAAATTGGCTGCTCGAAACAGATTTTTCTCCCATATCCGTATTATTTTTCAACAACCTTTTGTGTATGTATCCAACAACAACAACAACATACCCAGTATATTCCCAACTGGTTGGGGTCTGGGGTACGCAGACCTTACCCTTGTAATTATACAAGGAGGCTGTTTCCGTAGCGAGGCTGTTTCCGTAGCGACCCAAGGTGCATTGCGTTGTTTGATATTTTTTTTTCTAGAAACTTCACTAATAGAAGGCACTAGAATTTAATTGAGCCATTTTGATCTAGTCCATTATTAGCACTACGCGAGGAGAATTGTCAACAATGACTCTTCCAGCTCCATTTGCAATGGACATCTTTTGTGTATGTATCCATATAAAGTTATTTTCTCTAATGTTGTTGCGTCTTTGAAAGATGTGTGAGAGTGTTCTATATACGGGCTTATCCCTTATGTAAGCTAAAGACTTATATCCCGCAAGGAAGTTTTGGATGCTTTACATGCTTATGCTGGTCAGCTCTGTGATTCACCTTGTAGTTGATAAGCAGTTTTTTCCTGTGAACTGGAAGTTCTATGTATAACTAATAAGTTTTCTTTCTCTCGTTGTCTCTTTTTTTTT